GGGTGGGAGCAGGCGATAGCCTCTGCCAGGCAGAGCTGCCTTGTCTCCAGGACCCCCTGGCTCAGGGCTGGAGTGCATCAGGCCAGGCTGGTGTGGGGGTTTGTTTCTTAGCAACCAGAGCTGCACCTCCCACATGGGTGCACCCGCTTGCAGAGGGGCAGCAAGGGCAGGGCTTATGGAGGTCTCACAAGCCCAATGGAATTGCCTGTATTGTGCCTGTGCCTGGGAGACAGTAATACACTCACAGCCCAGAAACCACACTTCTTGCCATATGGAGAAGAGTGCTGTATGCTGGCAGTGTATTTGCTTAGGATGCCATCTGCTTGGGGAGATGTGGTGTCAGGATACAGGGAGTGGCTTGGCTCCTAAGAAACTACGGACCATTCCCAGCAAGGAATATACCCATCTCAGACACCACCCTTCAGTCCCAGGGGATAGTAAGGAATACTGTCACCCTTCAGGCCCAAGGAATACTAGCTAGGGACTATGTCCATCTCAAACAGCCTGCTGGTCTCTCAGCCACATCTGTACACTTGTGTGAGTTGGGCTGCCTATTTCTGTATGACACCAAGAAAGAAGCTAACACTCCCTCCTCCTCCCCTTGACCTCTGCTGGGACTGTATGGAGAACAAGTCACCTCTGGCAAAACCATTTCCTGAAGAAAGCACAGGAGGGATTAACTGTGGTTATAGCAAAAAAAAAATCAAAGACTTCAGGTAGGAGGAGAGATGATAGAATTGCAAACTCAGATGCCTCACATGATGACAAAGTTACCTGATAAATGGATGAACTTAAAACCTAGGGGACATAATGAAGAAGTAGAGATAGAGGGAAAGCCCATCAGAAGTGTTTAAAATTAAAGGGCAGTTACCATATGGTACAGAGAAGTTGGACAGAACCATTGGGTGTTTCCAAGAGCCACACATTATAATAAGTGATGAGTAACCCATTCCTATCACTGATGTACACAAGTGAAAGTTTAGCACAGAGCTCTCCAATTACCCAGCACCATTCCCTTTAAATGCAAAAGCAACTCCAAGGACTAAGGCATTCAAAAATACATCCAGCAAGCACAGCAAAAAGGGCCAGTAGAGAAATGGCACAGGGATCTCGTATGCTAAGCTTTCTACTCAAGGCACTAGGGTGCCAAATTCTGTCCGCTTGTCTTCATTGCAGGATTGTTGAGAGATATTGGTTCTGTGCTGCATACTGTGTGCACTTCCCTGTGCAAATACCTTATTAGCTGTAAAAAGTACCAACTTTTACTACAATAAAAGCTCATCATTCTAGATAACTTGAACTAGGGCTGTGCTATCAAATAAATCTATTTGGAATTATTTGCATCCTTTAGGTGATAGAAGGGTAATAATTTGTCTTGATAAATGAGTTAATTTCATGCATCATTAACCAGACCAAAATACATCCAATAAATGCAGCAAAAAAGGGCGTATGATAGAAACAGCACAGGGATTTCTTACATTAATGTTTCTACTCATGGCAGTAGGGTGCCAATATTATGTAAGCAAATAAGACTCAAGAAGAATAATCAAGCTTAAAACGAAGACTTCTCCTGCAAGATAGTCACAATATGTAGGAAGTATAGCAGAGTCACCATCTATTGGAATTCTACATGCAACATTTAAAACAATGGTTTCAGACCAGTGACTCCTTCCAGTGCATTAAATCAAACAAAGATATACAAGGAAGCCCGTGGCTTGCCTTCAGCTTTTCCCCCCATTCTGGTACAATTGTCTGTGCTGCATCACTTCCATTTGAACTGTCCCCTAGCTGTGTTCAGACACTGATACATGGCATGAAAACCTGGGTTAGAGAAAGGGAAAGGCAGAGTCTACCCACTGGTAAAGATGATGTTGCTGTTATGATCACCATTCCTCTTCACTCTGTGCGCACCCAAAACACTCATCTCCAAAATTCATGTTTGCATATGGCTTGATCAACAATTTATTTGCTCTGGATACTTTTGCATCAATTTAAAAATTTTACAAGAAAAACAATGCAAGCCATTCATAGAGGATAATCCACTGTAATGTAATAACTGAACTGACTGCTTAAAGGGGTAGAATGTTGGAAAAGCATCTGTCAAGGGAGAAAAAGCCATCTTACTGCCAAAGAATGTCATCAGAAGTCAGAGGATCTAGACTCAGATTATCAAAAGCTGCACAATTATACCTGAAGTAACCGTGATTGTGTAAGGGTTTGGGCATATGTTCAAAATGCTTCAAACCCCACCTTTATTTAAAGAACCCTCAGTCTGAGCACATCAGTACCCCACAAACATGCAGGCCCTCCCAGCTCACATGCCTCAAAATATGTAGCAGCTGATGCAGTTGCACTGCTCCACAGCTGGTGGTGGTTCCCAGCATCCCTCATTATGAATCCTGAGGTTTCAGAAGGCAGCTAACCAGAAGCATCACACCTCTCAGCTTCTGCTCTCTGCTTCGCAAGCCTGGCTGGTTTCAAGTGCACTGCATTCCTAGTGGGACTAGACAATAGGTGCTTATGGCTTTCTTGCCCTCCAGTCTCTGAGAGAGCAGCATCTCAAGGTACTGCTTCTGCTCTTCAGGTCACACTTTACCTACCTTACCATGCTTTTTATCTCTTTCACCGATGGAACACATGCACACCTGTACCCAGTACAGTGACTGTAGTACAGGGGTGTGCCATTTGGGCTGGAGGGTCCACTTAATGAGTTTTGTGAACTGTTGAGGGCAGGAGGGAGAGAAGGGGGCTGGGGAGATGCTAAATGAGCCTATCCAGCCTGCTGGCCGCTGCCAGGAGCCTCAGAAGGGAGGGCTGTGCCCTGTGCCATTCTGCTGTGCTGTAGCAAAGGCCAGGCTATACTGCATGCAGACTCCACCTCACCACATCCAGGCACCTAAACTGGCTTCCTGTTGGCATTGTGCAGTCCTGGCATTGCAGCCACCAGCATCTGGGCCTGCGTGGGACAGGGTGCACTGCAGTGTGCCAAGTAGCTGTCCTGCCCACCCATCTGCCATGATGAACTGCTGCCACCACACTGCACCAGGAAAGTTGGGGGCAGCTGCCCAGGGCTGAGCCCCCACCTCTGTGGCTGGAACAGACTCACCTCCTAGTGGTGCTGTGGTAGCAGTGGCTCATCCTGGAGGGCAGGTGGGAGGGCTACTCAGCATACTGCATCCCATCCCATCCCATGTGGACCTGCCTGCCAGCAGCCATGGTGCCAGAACCGCACTGCGCTAACAGGAACCTGGCTGGGGCGGGGGGAAGGGAGTCCGTGTGTTGAGCGGCTGAGCCCAGATATGGCAGAGCCCTCCCTCCTCAGGCTCCCAGCAGGGGCCAGTGAGCAGGATAGGATCAATTTTCAAGCTGGATACAGTCCTCAGGCTGTAGTTTGCCTTGTACAAAGCAGGCCTCTGGATTCCTATGGCTTGTCTGAGAGGAAGGGAAATGTTTAGTGATGCTCCCAGAGCATGGGTGTGTGCTATTAGTCACCACTGTGTTTGGTGTGCAGGGCTGGTGCTCTAAGTACCAAAAGGATGACAGGGAAGTCATCCAAAATAATGGCAGGATAGTTAGCTGGTCTTCTCCAATGTTGATGCCATGAGCTGTCTTGTCCCAGGGGCTGGTATGGCCCAAGCTCAGTGGTCCTGAATAGAAGGGCCTTCCCCAGGATCCTCGTTTCAGACTGGAGCCTTCTCACAGTGCTTTGGGTCCACAGGGCTATTGAGGTGGACACTGAGCTGTCTGACAGAGTTGATAACAAAGGCATTATCACCTACAAGAATTTGGAAGAGTTCCTTAAATATACCACCCAACAGGCACTTGGGACAGGGCTACCATCACAATATTGTCTGTCTTCATGATGTTTGCTTTGGCTCTACTGATGCAAGTGCTAGTTATGCCCATGAGTGACTACCTCTAATGCAAGCTGCACATACACAGCCTATGGGTCTGCTGAGTGCTCTCCTTACTTTAGCTACAGAATTAAGTTGAGCATTTCACTGACCTTCTTGGCGCACTTCATTTATTCAGTGGATGAGTAGGTACTTGAATATGTTCACGCAGTACACAAGAAGTCAACTTTCAGCCACGATTGTCCAGAAAACGGTGGCTGCATTATGCTTCTGCGCCTGGGTTTAAGAAGATGACGTCACACGTGAAAGACTATGTGACCCTTAGGGCAGTACAGATGGCAGTAAGGCACAAAAGGGGGAACCTCACGGGAGATGGAAGGGTGGGAAGAAGCAGAACATTATGAGATGCTGGTAGCTGAACAATTTCCTGTGTCACTCTAGACAGAACAATTTGAAGCTTTTCACAGCAGAGCACTTCAGAGTTGTTCCCATTTCATCCAGGGTCATTTTATATAGTTCAGGCCAATTTGGAGTGCTAGAGCACTGTGCATTGCCTGCTCCTTCTCTTTCTATAGTACCTGAAAAACACTTGAAGCACTGCAAACATTACATCTGTCGATGACGTAAAAGTAATGCAAAAACGTAGGAGAGGGGGGAAGGAATCTTTCCAACTGTAAGTATGGTTAAGTAACTGGACAGGCTGCTGAGGGAGGACACAATGTCCCTCTCATTGGAAGTTTAAAAACAAACAAACAAACAAGACAAATATTTCATTTAGGTCCATTTCATTCTGCTTTAGAATGAAAACGAGTTAAATGACTTCTTGAGGTCCTTTCCCAGCCTAAGTTTCTGCAATTCTGTATTTTTAGTTGGCTTTAAATTAATCTGTGGATAAAAAGCAGTAAGTCAGCTCCTTGAAATCAATGCATATGAAAAAATTGGACAAGGAGAGCATTTGAGCAAGATTATAATCATTTTCTATGTCCAGGATATTAAGAACACTGCAAGCTAGAGTTCTCCCAGAAGTAATGGATGTAGCCCAAGAAAGCCTCTACATCTAGTTTCTCACACCAACCACAGTTCACTCAGGGCCTGGAGTATTTTTGTGGCAGGTTGTTTTCAATGAACCATCACTTACCTCTCTAGAATTTTTTAAATAAAAAGTTTTATTAGAGAAATTACTTTGAACAAAAAAGGACAACAATATTTGTTTTGTCATTTAAAAAAGTAACTGTTTTCTTCATGCCCTATAAGGTGAACTGAAGAAATGCTACAAAGATCTCTTCCTGCTGCCATTCTGTGATGGATTGGTTTATATCTGCATCACTACAATAAATTATGAACAGTCCTTTTCCACGCTTCTCTCCTGAAAGTGCTGCATATTAACAGAAAATGTTGCACACAAACCACATTTCTATTCATTCTGCAGTATTGGAACCAGTATCTAGAAAAAAAAAAAAAAAAAAAGAGGAAATAAATGTAAACATATACAGATAGGATATCACAAGCTGGTAGGAATTAACATTAAATCAAACTTTTCTTTTAACTGCTATAACAGATGCATCAAAAACTATGTATGTGGAAAAGACAAGATGCATGCCCAGGGCTGGAGAACAGTTACGTGCGGAATTACTTAAAGCAATTGTTCAGGAACAATCTTAAACTGCCCTCCCACCCCAGTCAGGCCAGTGGCAGGAAGCCACAAAGCAGGGAAAACTCTGCATTCTTTTTTCCAGGGAATCTTAAGTAGCTGGAACAAATCAGCCAAAGGCTATAAAGATTATTCTTCCAGGCCAGTTTCAGATCTTATAAATCAACCTGTCAAAGCAACCAAGTGTTGTTTTTTTCCAGGAAAAGCATCTGAACAACACATTTTCCTAAATAAAGTAAATAATCAGATATTCTATGAGCAGTATGCATGCGGTGGTCATAGATTGTAAGGCTGAAAGGGACCTCGGAAACTCATTGGGTCCAGCACCCTGCACCAGGCAGGAAAAATGGCAGGTGGGGTCAGATGATCCCAGCAAGATGACTGTTCAGTATCCTCTTGAAGATTTCCAGGGTAGGTGATTGCACCTGGAGGAAACTTATTACAGAGTCTGGACACCGTAATTTCTTCGGTTCCCTAGAATATTGAGCCAGCTGTCGCCAGTGTTCAACCACTGTGATTTGCTTACTGATGCTAGGCCAACACTGGCATTCTTTAATGTACCGATTGCTGAAAAGAATATTTTTGCTTTGCTTCAGTATATCATGGTGGTAATGTCATAACCGCAAGGTTAAGCGGACAGACCAAATAATTCCTATTTTGTTACCATATTTTTTGAGCTGTATAACTTAATCACTGACAAATAGGGGTGGTCATATTTCTGTTTGGCAGCACTCTAGATTTATTTATTCATACACTTAAAGACTAATATTAAGGCAACTGTAATTTATACATCAGCTTTAACTAGGATTCAATGATATAGCCCAGAACACTCCCCCCCCCATCTGAGCTAATTAATTATCTAATTTTTCAAATGATCTTATTTCTGTACAGAAAAGCTGGCATTCCCAGTTTAAACTGAGTTTAGTAACCAAAGACAGAGACAGCTCCAGTCACAAACATTTCCTCAGTCTGTTAATGACTCTGGCTGAGTGAACCAGTTTCATAAGTCCACTTAAGCTGGATGTCTCTACTAAGATAATATTTACACTGTATTTTAGCACTTACTTTTTCCATCACATGCTACAATTTTCACTTTATCCACTTTCACGAGTTCAGTAACCTCCCTAAATTCAACATCGTTCAGTACAAATGTCCATACATTGTCACAGAACCTGTATGTATTCAGGGAGCCCTTTAAAAGAAAGATATAGCATAAACAATTATATAATGGATATCATCAATATGGTTACAAAGACAAGGACGTTGAGCAGTTGAAAAATTCTTATCTTATCCAACTATCAAAGTAGCTATTTTACATAGTTTATGGATACTCGCCAAACAAAAGTTAACAAAAAGTTACTTTAACTTCATCAGACTCTATGGACATTTTATCCTTGGTCTTTGCTACTGGACTATTTGCTAGGCAGAACATGCAAGCACAAAACTAGGTATTTTTAGGCAATTCTAAGGAAAACTGTAGTTTGAACGCCCCCATGTGGCAGAAAATGCTCATACTCATGTATGAACATTATACTTTAAGGAGAATCATACACAGCAGCTAGGAATAATGATGGATTTTCCTGGCATTAGAGGAAGGACAGTCAGTCAGACACTTTTATTTAATTTAATTTATTGTCAGCCAGGCTGGGGCATGGGTCAATCAAAGCTATTACTGTGATCCTTTAAACAAGATATATGCTCTATACGAAACAAACAAATAGTCTCCTAACTCTTTATCTGACTTCCTGAACTCACCAGAACAATTATTTGGTCAGGATTTAAATGCAAGACATATGGAGCATCTGATAAGCAACTCAGCTAGGTGGCTAAAGGTGGAGATCAGCAAATATTATTAAAATATGAGGGTATTTTACGGCTTTTGTAAATTAGCAGATATTTTGCTTGTTACTGCTCATAAGCAGCAACACGTGCAACTGCCAACCTGTACACCCAGAGCACTACTGATTTCTGACTCATTCTGACTCAAGAGCATTTGAAACTTAATGCCAGAAGTACAAGATATTTTGCAGTTTACCACATGCAACTCAATTCATCCCGTGACAGAACATTTCAATAGATTCACCAGTATGAATCTTCTCAAAAACAAATTCAAATGTACATTAGACAAAGGGTTTGTTTCACCTAAACCTACTGCAGTAAATACACACTATGTGGAACATTTTTTGCATAGGAGTGTAAAAAATTCAACATGAAGAATTATCTAAAATCTTGTTTATGAGCAGTACCTGAGTTAGGAAGCTTCATGGCAGCTCAGAGAAAATGTGTACTATGATCATTGTTTAACTCAATACCACAGGGTAGATTATGTACATTAATTGGATAGTTTTTAAGAGCTTACTTTTTTCTGCACTTCAAGATCTGGAATAGTATAATAATAATAATAATAATAATAATATAAAAGGTTAACTATAACATGCATTCCAAAGTCTGGAATGAATTACCAGATAGATTAACCAAAGATAAATAAAACAGATGTGTTTATAAAGAGCTCAGTCACAAAAATACCCATCATGTATTTTCTGAATTTTACTTCAGGTTCCATTTTTCGTGGGAGTTTTCTAGAACTGAATCCTAATTCTCCTGTTATCTTGATGGTGGAAAGAAAAGGAATCCCTCCCTCCTCCTCTTCCTCCCCCCAAAAAGCACTGCCCCCCTCCTGTTGCGTCCAGACAAGCATGCATGTGCGGTTTGCAGCACCTCAAAGCAGCCTGAGATTTTGCAAACTGCACACGGCATGCATGCACCCATTCACCACGCTGTTAATTTAATAGAATCATAGAAAATTAGGGTTGGAAGGGACCTCAGGAGGTCATCTAGTCCAACCCCCTGCTCAAAACTAGATCTAGTCTCCAACTAGATCATCCCAGCCAAAGCTTTGTCTAGCCGGGTCTTAAAAACCTCCAAAGATGGAGATTCCACCACCTATCTGGGTCACCTGTTCCAGTGTTTTACTGCCTTCCTAGTGAGAACATTCTTCCTAATATCTAACTTAAACTTTCCTTGCTGCAACTTGAGACCACTGCCCCTTGTTCTGTCATCTGCCACCACAGAGAACAACCTAGCTCCATCCTCTTTCAACCCCCCATTCAGGTAGTTGAAGTCCTCATACGCCATGTCTCTCAACCCCCAAACCATTTTTGTTGCCCTCCGCTGGACTCCCTCCAATTTGTCCACATCCTTTCTGTACTGGGGGCCCAAAATTGAACACATTACTCCACTGGCCTCACCAGTGCTGAACAGAGGGGAATAATTTTCAGCGTGGTGGTTATTTTTGACACTGGGAGATACTGGTGTCAAAAAACAGCCACTAAGGAGTGGTGTGGCACATGCAGCAGCAGCGTGCATTACTAGAAATGGAGCCTAACTGGCCAGAGACATGCTCTGGCTGCTGGCCAGGCTCCGAGCAGCCAGCTTGGTGCCACTGCTATTTGTCCCACAGGAGATGAGCACGCATGTACAGGGGCACACATCTGGATGTGCCCCATCTCCATCTTCTCACTCCAGAGAAGATGGATTCCTTTCCTACTCTCTGTTGCTAGGGGTTATCACCTTGTTATGAATGACCCTTAAACTTACATATGCTGCTGCCTATTGGTTTCTGTGAGCAACAGAGCAAAAGACTTTTGAGATTTTCACTGCTTGGAGACAGCATCATTCTTGCATTTACTGAGTATGTCGCAGCAAAGAACTGCAGTATTACAGGTCATTTCTGTATATTAATCTAGAAATATAACAAATAGCCTGCCTCCAAATATAAAGCTCAACTAGGAATGGAAGAGATCAGCAACACAAATACACCCCCACAAGCACAACCCTGACAAGATGTAACCTTTGCAAGTTCTGTGCCAGACAGGTGACAGAATTATAAGAAACTTGAACAGCCTATGAATAGGGAATCTATCATAACCAAATACAAAAGCAAGAATTAAATTCAATATTATAGAGATAATGGTTATATACAGATGCAGTCTTGCTAGAATCAAAATGAACCCTTAAATAGACTTTTTCAATCATGGCATATACAGATAAAATTCTCCTTGCTGCCACTGAATACCAACACCTGCTTCTTGGGGATGTTAATAATTATAAAAGTGCACCTACCCTGAAATTGACTCTGTTCCTGACCCGCTGCGCCAATGCTGAATTTATAGCCTTGTCAAACTGAAGTAGCACTTGCAGGGCAAGCTGAGGGGTGATTTGCTGTGACTATAAAAGGGGAAAAAAATAACGAGAACATATGAGACTATAAGGGAGAAAAAAAAGAAACACACATTACTTTTCACTTTTTCTAGCTAGAGAACATTACGGATTAAAAATACACAGATACGGATTACATAAAACTATCAAAGCAAAATTTATATGATACAAACTCTTGGATACAGCTTTACTGAAAAGAGATTTCTGTTTTTATTCTGTTACTCTCACAAAAGAAAGATATAAATTCTTGTGTAAACATGGTAGCGATATATCCACATGGGGAGATACCTATTTTCTAGAAATATGGGTAATAAAGCCAAATTCCAATTGTCTTTCTATCCAATATCTGCTTTCTCCCCAGGAGCCACTCTCGTGATTAGTGATCCACTAAGCCAAAGCTGACAGGAATACAGTCAGACTGTAGCATAACCCAAAATTATTTGGCCAAACTGACTGAAACTAGCAGTTCTGAAATTTAAGGACAGATCTCCAAATGTAATTAAATAAAATAAATAAATTCATAGATTGCAAGGCCAGAAGGAACCTCAGAAGATCATCGGGTCCAGCCCCCTGTACCAGGCAGGAATAATGACAGGTGGGGTCAGGTGACCGTCCAGTCTCCTATTGAAGATTTCCAGGGTAGGTGACTTCACCACCTCTGGAAGGAGCTTCAGTACACCCCAACTGAAGAAGTTTTTCCTAATGTTGAGCCTGAAATGTTCTTCCAGGAGCCTGTGGCCATTACTCCTGGTTTTCCCCTCAGGTGCCCTGGTGAACAGTTGTTCACTGAGCCCCTGATGTACTCCCCTGACCTAGCAATGAGCTACTACCAGGTCCCCTCTCAGTTTTCTCTTTGTCAGGCTGAGAAGTCCCAGGTCCCTCAGCCATTCCCTGTATGGTCTGCCATGCAAGTCTCTGATCATATGGGTGGCTCTTCTCTTGACTCTCTCAAGTTTTACCATGTCCTTGTTAAAGTGCAGCACCCAGAATTGGACGCAATACTCCAGTTGGGGTCTCCCCAATGCTGAGTAGAGTGGGAAAATCACCTCCTTATAAAATATAAGTACTGGAAGGGTGAAGAACCTGTTAATCAGTAGTCGTGGAATTGTTATATCACCTCAGTGTCTCCATCTCCAGGATAAAATTGAACACTTTACAATCAAGCTATTGACAAAGATTTCTATACTCATGAAAAAGCAGTAAGTTTTTCACTGTAATGTTTCTTCCTAATTAAAGACAGCACAGTTGCATTCATTCCCCGGGCACTGTTTATTGTCATAGCTAAAAGAGAAACAAATCAAGTGGGCTATTTCAGAATATAGTTTAGCCATTCATTTACTAGGAGACAGGAATGCATTTTGTTCTGCTAGAATGTTTTATTTAAACACTGCCCCAGAATTATAATTCCTGCTTTTGATTTCAAAACAACGAAGTCTCCACACCTCAAGAACAGAGGATCGGTAAGGTCTCTGCAGATGAACCAGAGAGCCCTTTGTATTTTAAACTGCACACCAGTGGCCCAAGCACTTGGCATATTTCAGCTCCACTCGTTCACTGCTCCATCACCCTTCAGGCTAAGCAGCTCGTCTCCCACCTGTATGAGCTCATCCAGGCTCTCCTGAAGGCTGTTCCCCAGGGTGGTATTTCTGTACAGCTGATATGCCATGGTTTACTGAGGGAAGGTGGAAACGCTCCTGCTTGTGCACGGCTCCAGACCCGCTGCTGGGGCTCACGCTGTCATTGAAAGCCTGGGAAAGCCAAGAGAAAGGGTTACGCTGGGGGGTGGTGCGGCTCTGACCCGAAACACAGCGACGCCTGTGCTCGGACTCGAGAGGAACCCAAGTACCCCCGGGAAGGGCTTCCAGCCTGAGCCCCTTCCCCGGGCGGCGCCACCACGGGAAGGGGAGCGCTGTGGCGCCGCTGTCCTGCCGCGGGGCGGCCCTTGCGGCCCAGGCCAAGGGAGGGCGTCTCCCCCGGGGAGGGGGCGCAGCGCCGGGCTCCCCCTGCGGGCGGCGGCGGGGGCAGGGCCCGCACGCACTCGGAACCGGAAGGGCGCCGCCACAGGAAATGCCACTTTTTAACCCCACGCAGGCTGGAGGGTTTCTTTTAACCCCGTCACAGTCGTTCGGCCCCGCCCCGCCCGCGAGCGGCCCCGGGAACCCCTGGGAAACCACCGCTGCGGGAAGGGAGTTCAGCGGCCTCCCGCTCCCCCTCCCCGCGCAGCGAGCGGTCCGGCCGGGCCCTGCGCGTTTCATTGCAGGCCGAGTCTTGCTGGGAGCACGGGAGCCCCCGCCACAAGCCCTGGCCCGCGGCTCCCCGAAAGGGCACGGCTCCCGCCTCTCCCGCACCGCAAACCTGGGATGTTTTTGCCCCCCGCATTAGTTTCCCCTCCGGTTCCGGGGCAGGGGTGGCTTCGTGACACTGGCTGGACAGGCGGAGCCGCGGGCCCGAAAGCTGCTCCTGAGCTGAGGGCGGCGTAGCAGCCGGGCTGGGACGCCGGTGACAGAACACGAAGTGCGGCAGCCTCGTGTACTTCGGAGCCGGCCTTCCCACGCGGCGGCCCGCTCAAGCTGGAAAGAAGAAACGCCAGGAGGGGCGCGATAGGATGCCTAGCGCTTGCTGCCGTGCTATTTATCCTTTAGCGCCAATGTCGGTCTGTACAAAGCACGTTACCCCCTTTTAAGAGAGTGGTGTAAAACAGTTGTTCTCAGCCCTTTTTGTACCAGGACTCCTTTGTAAACACGGATGGTCAGTCCTGACCCCGAAAATCGTTTAAAGAGAAAACAGCCCCCTGGCCCTGAGGTGCTGCCTGCTCCAGCCCCACTGCGGGACGGGGTGGGCGCGGGGGGCAGGGGGAGCATGGGCCCTGCCAATTCATGCAAGCACAGGGCTGCAGCACAGGTCCCAGCCTGGGCCGGCAGAGCAGGGTGGCAAGATTCGCTGCTGCCAAGACCCCCAAGCCAGCTGTGCTGGCAGCAGCATAAGAAGTAGCGGATAGCGGGGGGAGGGGACAGCCCACTGTCCTCACCTTCTGCTAGCACCTGCTCACACACCCTGCCACCATGGCCTGGCTGCCACCAGCACCACCACTCCTCTCAGGCCACCTGTGCGGCCCACCACCCCACTTCCCCTCCAGGGTAGAGCTGCAACTTGGGAGTGGTGGGGTCCAGGCTGTGGTGGCCCAGTAGAGCTGGGGCCTGAGCGGCAAGGGGCTGGAGGTAGGAGAAGGTGAGGACAGAACACCTTCCCCAGCCATCGCTCTTTGCACTGCTGGCAGCATGCAAGTCCGGGCAGCAGCAGCAGGAACCAGGCTTGCTGAGCAGCTCTAACCTCCCACACTGGGTTCTCTTCACTGGCCTGAGTTGGGTCCTACCCATGCTGGTCTGACCAGGCTTCAGCCCTGTGCCTGCTGTGGGTGCACAACTTGGTGGTGGTGGGGGACGGTTCGTCTCCCTATGCCCTCCTGACACGTTGCTTGTGCCCTCCCAACTCCTCCCTGAATTCGCATCCATGCCTGCCCCCTGCCCATAGACTTACCTGCAGGGAGCTGCTCTTCACCCTGCCTGGCTGTCACATGCATGTGTGCACACATGCACATGGCACCCACCCCCTGCCAAATCACCCTCCTCCCAGTCCCCACAGCCCTGAGCCCCACTGTGGAACTCTGCCAGCCTGCAAGGGGAAACCCGCAGTTTCCAAGTTTTTATCCTTTAAGAGAGAAAATCCCTGTTTTCCCCAAAGCAAATGGGAAACCCGGATCCCTGTTTATTAGTAGGCAAAGCATTAACATGGTGAAACACAAGTAGCATCTGTTTTTTAAAAAAGTATGCAAAATATGATCCATTTTTCACGACTGTTTCATGCATTTTTGCAACCCACTTTCGGGTCACGACCCACAGGTTGAGAAACTCTGGTATAAAAGATAAAGGCACTTCTTCAAAGAGCACCCTTGTTTATGGAACTATAATCCTCCAGAGAATGACCTGCATCCACAAGAGTTACCGAGTATGATAGTTACCACAGGAACTTGCAAAGTAACTGTACAAAGTGCTCTTGTTGTCAGCCCTGACTGGCCCCTTTTCTGAAAAAGATGTTAATTTGCAACTGAATGAGATTTTAATCTTTGACACAAATCTGCTTTTGTGACTCTAGAGTTAACCATCCTCACTTTACAAGAAGAGGCAAGGTTTATTGAGATCTTATTGGATGCACTAAAATACTAAAAGAAGAATAAAAATAATAATAATTCTTGTCTCTTACATTTCCTGGGCCATCTTTGCTCTAGCACTGCTCCAGCCCTGTTTTTCAACACCACACCTGCATTAGCTTCAAAGAAAGCCACTACCCCTTTAATCTTACACAGTTCTCGTCACAAGAGACTTTTCCAAGAAGGCTAATTAAGACATTTGACCAGTAAGAGCCTTCTTCCTCCTTCCCCCCTACCATTATGGGAGTCTCATTAAAATGCTGTTTACTCCAAATTTGTTCTACTTACACATTTTCAGTGTAAACATAACCATTTAAATTACTCTCTACTCATTTTTAAATATCATTGGAAAAATCATAAAATGTATGCTGCCTGCAATGGGAGCTTTTCTGAAGTTTGATCTGTTATAGTATATATCAGACTTTTTGACTAATTAACACAGATGTAATCTTATACTCTTAAGACGTGGGTTTTCAACCTTTTTAAAGCAGGGAGCTCCTTCTGGTGGGTACCCCTTCTGGATGCGGAGTTGGGGAGGGGGGAGGGGTTCGCTATACACTTTGTGGCCAGCTGGCCTGGGGGTGGGGAAAGGGGGAAAGGACTGCTGATGACTGGCTGGATGCAAAGCCAGCAGCGCAGAGAAGCAGGGATACTTGGGCGCAGGGAAGTGGCACATGGAGGCAATGTGGAGTGACAGAGGGCAGCAGCAGCCCTTCCCCCCGTGCCACCGCTTCTCAAGTACCCCCGCTTCTCTGCGCCACCGCCACATACCCCCTGGGGCCTTCTCAAGTACCCCCAGGGGTACACGTACCCCCGGTTGACAACCCCTGCTCTAAGATATAGTACTGTTGCTATGTGGAATTATGTATTCACCTACTTAAAGAACTTCACAGACACTCCCTCTCCACCCTCACCCCAAAAAGTGCCTAGATAGGTTAAAACTGGGAAAACAGGTCCATGATCTTCCTATCCATACTGGTTCAGAGCATGAAAATAATTAAATTTCACATTTAAAAATGCAACATTAAAAAACAAACGAAAAAACCCAGGAACAAAATAGAACTTCAAAATTTCTAGTCAACTCAAAGCTTTGACCATCTGACAATACAAACTCCAAATTTCAACATTACCTAATCACACAGTGCCAACCTAGTTTGACTGTAAAACCTAACTTGAGTGAAACTGAAAATTTTTCAGAGGTAGTCAAATGATACAAAAATGTAAGTCCAATTGATTTTCAATGGCACTCTCAGGTCCTTAAAAAGCTTGCTATTTTTTATTATTTTCCCTACCGTATATACAAATCCAGAGATACCTTACATCCATCACAATGGGCAGTCAGCTCAGAGGACCTTGTCACTTGCAAGTACTCATTCTGGTAGCAAAATAAAGTTGAGAACATGCTGCTACATATCTGGGATTTATAACCCTTTAAGTGCAAGAGCCCATATCTTAAAATGACAGAGCTTAGAAAATGCAGTGTATTCCTGCAACATGTAATTTACTGTTAGCTGGAGAAGCAAGAACTCACCAACCTGAATTTCCTTTATCAGCAAGTCACATCATGAAGTAAAGGATTGGTCAAAAAAGCAAATTGTTGAAGTCATGTTTTTAGTACTGAAGTAATTTTTTTAAAGCATTCTTTGTTAAAAAAAAAATTATATTTTTTTTATCTTAATTCATCTTGGGCAGAAGTTCACAATTTTAAGTTAATATTGAAAACTTCCAGTACTGTTTGACATACCTGCCTTTAGGTATTATTGTTGCTAAGACGCAAGACTAAGCTTCCACCTGGAAGCTGAAAACTAGGACTAATCACCATTTAAAGAAAACAAATACAGTCAAGAACAGAAACCTGATTTTAATGCATTGGAAGGTAAGGTCATTAAAAAAAGATAAACAGAAGTACTTTAAAACTCCACTTCTGCCCTCCATTTACGATCCATGTTTTTAATGCTTCCTTCTCCCTCAGACTACCATGATTTTAGTTCTGAAGCATTTAAAAAAATTATAGTGAAATGATGTAAGTGTTTATAAAAGTGGTCTTTATAATCTATATTGCAATACAAAGGGTTCAGTACAAAATATACCTTGTGTGTGTTTGAGAAATTCCCAAAAGTCTTTTAAAATAGATTTTTTTAAATGCCATTTGTTATGTAAGGCAGAAAACTGAGAAGGGGGAGAGTCCCCTCAGAGATGGCCAACTTAGCTTTCAAGCTTTTTCTTTAGAGACCAGTGAGACTGTCAAAATGAATGCTGCTATTTAAACTGTGGAGAGAAACATCAAGCAATCGTGCATCTGCAGGTACACTTCTAAATAAGCAGCATTAATGCAATGTTAAGATCAAGACTCAAGTACATCCATCAAGAAAGACAGAGTTAAAGCCAAAGATTTAATAATAATTTAAGATGTGGTCTGTAGAGAAAAGGATTTATCATCCTTTATCAGCTTATGATACATTGAGTTGTTCAAACACCCATTGCCTCAGTTCTCCTATTTCTTATCTGGCTTCAGTTTTGGCTGGGGATGCTAAATCTCAAATGAAAGCCTGAGGTACCAACCTTGCAAATGCGATTTTAATCATATTTTTAGTTACTGGAGTTAAAATTGAGGGCAATTAATCTTCTAGTGTGCAAGACTTACTTTTCAGTATCTAGTCCTACTTTTTTTTAATTAAATTTTCAGTCTTATCAAGGTTTTGGAAAAGAGGATCCTTTTTATCCAATGTGAAAAAGCAAACAGGAAAAATTTATAACTCAGGTCTCTGTAATCGCATAATGTAGAAGCAAAAAGGTGCAAAAGATAGTCTTCTCACTTCTTAAAAGTGACTCTGTCAAATGCAAAATATAAAATATGCCTACACAGTAAAATATTCTTTGCAGCTTACTTTTGTGCAATTTGAGAGAAAAGAAACCTATCAAAACAAGTAGGGGGAAGAAAGAAAATACTGATGTGAGCTGGTTAAGACCATGGAAACAATGGGATACCAAAATCATGTCCAAGTCTGGGAGAATTACTACAATTTTGTCTCCCCATGAGGAGAAACAAACATTTTGTATTTGAAACACCTTCACCTATTATGTGTTACCTCACATAAAAGAGAAGGCATCTTTCTGCTACCTGTGATAGTTTGCTGCAACAATAAGCTTTCTATGCAGAACTTTTTAAAAAAAACTTTAAATTAAAAAAAAAATTATGCCTATTTTCAGTGTAAGTTAAGTTTAAATAAAATGTCTAATTTTCCAGGCCTCTAGAGACTTGGTAAAAATTAGATTTAAGGCTAGAAAAGTAAAATGAAGGTCACAGATTTGCATGCACACACTCAACTTACACATCTTACTCAACTGCAGTGTAAGATGCAGAGAATAAATTCACGGGAAATCTGTCAAAGACAGGAGTACCCAATTACCTGTGGAGGCACATTTCTCGCATGAAAAACCACACTCTCTCCAATCTCTCAGTCCTGATCCTCAACCGAAACTTACAAAACACCTCCAGAGACGAGCCTATGAACTCCACTTCATCAACCTCCTGGATACTAAAAATCATTGACAAAATATATACAAAAAACTAGAACTCTTGGTTCCAAAATGATACCTTTTATTAGACCAACTGGAAAATGGCAAGAAAACTGTCCTTTTCTGCAAGCTTTCGGGATCAAAGTCCCTTCGTCAGGCTCTGGGAAAAGTATAGCTGGTACAAGATGCACAGAGAGAGCTGAAGATGGAAGTCTGTCCCTCTGTGCAAAAATCTTCAGGTCCCTCTGTGCAAAAATGAAGTTTATTTCCTACCTATGGGGAATTTTTATCATCTTGTACCATCTACACTTTTCCCAGAGCCTGACGAAGGAACTTTGATCCCGAAAGCTTGCGGAAAAGGACAGTTTTTTTGCCATTTTCCAGTTGGTCTAATAAAAGGTATCATTTTGGAACCAAGAGTTCTAGTTTTTTGTATGTCTTTTTGTCTCAGACCAACATGGCTACCAAGTACACCCCTGGACTAAATATAGACATTGGATTTATGACACATTATAACCTGCCTGACATCTGACTCCCCAGGTACCTCTCCACTATTCATCCCCCTTCTCTCCCCCCGCACCCAGCCTGTCTCTCACCCATTGACTCCTCGATCTACATCTTCACTGCCTACCTGTCTTGTATGCATACCAGCCCAGCCTCTGACTTCTTTATTTTTCATTCCATCCAGGAAGAGCACACACCAACTGCTGAAACTTCCTCAGCCCGACAAAGGGTTTTTGAACCCAAAAGCTTGCTTAGTAATTGTTTTCCAACTATTTAAGTTGGTCTAATAAAAGATATCAGATTCATCCAAAGAACCTTGTCTGCCTATGTCCTTAGACCAACACGGCTACAACCTACACCTCAAGATGGAGTGCCTGATCTGCATGAGTTAACTCCAATGCAGATCACTGCCTTTATCTGGCAGCAGCATCTGCTAGCCTCACACCTACAACAATTATAAGAGACAATGAGAGGTAAAAGATCCATCACTAGTAAATCCTAACTTTAAGATTAACCTTTGCCTGCTGCACCCTGCTGATAAATAACTGTCTAGTTGAATGCCACTTCACTTTCTCCATATATTGGGTTTATTTTATAAATATGAACTGTGAAAATATTAGCACTCCCCTACATATATTGTTTGTAAAAATATAAAAATGGGTGTTCTAGGCTTGATTAAGACAAATGGTAAGCACAACAGTAATAAAAGTGAACATATTAAATAAGTTTGCTTTAATGTCAGCTAAACATTTAGCTCCTGAACAGATTCACTTGCACCAGTTCTTGCAGGCAGTAGGGCATGATTACCAAATAGATTTAAGAGTTCCTACATATTGTATTAGACAGATCAGAAAAGTGGAGCATGTATTTAGTTACCAGAACAAACTTTGGCTTATGTGCCCAAGAACATCAAGTGAAAATTTGACAACCATTAAGGAGAGAGAAAAAGAAAAAAAAGATATTACTTTGTTAAAGTGAATTTAGTGCTGTTGAAAAGTGCCAGATAGCACTGGAAATGGAAGATTTTTCTACAAAGCATGGAGGTATACAGTGCAAGATTCTCTATACTTTTCCAGGGTACCTCAATCACACCTGAACAGACTGTTCATCTGGCTAAAGGTAATTTCAGTCTTTGTGCCCAGGCAATTTTTTTCTTCGTCAAGAATGAAAAGTTTATATTAATGCCAGCTGACAGCTCAAAAGAAACTGGACAAGTTCATTTCATATTAAAAGCTGTTGTTTCTTCGGTTACCATTTACTAAACATCTAAGTAAAATTAAAATTAGTGACCCTAGAGTGAAAGGTTCAGTGTGCAACTAGTCATCTGAATTGCTCAGTTGAGATAGAGGGACTTAAAACACCAAACAAAGCATGGACAAAATCAAAAGACCTACAGTTTTGCATTTTGAAGAAAAACAAAATAAAGAAGCCAAAGCTCAAGTTCATTCTGGCAGTGAAAATTAGTTCTATTTGTATTAGGTGTGTGAACAAAAACAAGCATCATCACACAAGTGTGACAAAGTGCACCATGTGAACATTAACATCTCAAAACATTAGGCTCACAACACCCAAGAAATGTGTTTAACCATTTACAGCAAAAAAAGTCATCATGCACTTTACAAAATAATGACAGCAGTCATTCATGGCCTAGTCTACCTGCAAACACATTTCTGCAGGCAAACAAAATATTGCTCAAAAAGTCATAAAAATATATATTATCTCTTTCGTTTAACATTTAGGTATATAAATATTTTACTGAAGAACATGCATCATTTAGATAAACAATTGCAAGAATGCCTTTTATCAACATCTAGGTTTTTGACATTTAGCAATATAAAATGATTACATATAAAAAGATAGCTATTAAAGTCAAGAATTAAACCAATACAGCAGTGAACAGTCCTCTGTTTACTAGTCCAGAGAAATCAAGGCACCTTTTGTAACAGGTTATATAATAAAGGCTACTGAATGCATTGTAAAATGCAAAAAAAGCATCATTCCATCTGCACATTCTTCAGTCATGTTTGGACTCCAAACTCACTGTTCACTTTTCTGTTCTTGTTTCCCATTGAGCGCTTGGTCAACTCTGTTTAATAATAATAAAAAACTAAGTTAGAACACATTAAGAACAAATTCAGTTAATCAATTTGCAAGTTAGGCAAAAAGCTTGATTTCATCCTAACAGACAAGAAACTAAAGCTTATGTATAGCAAATGTTTTAGTACATATTAAATTGTTAAAACAAACGTTTCAGTGAAATAGTTGCAGTCACAGCAAAGTGTTATAACTCCTCCCCTCATTTGTATTCTCCCTAACTCTTTTTTAAAGGATTCAAGAATGTTTTCTAGCAAAAAAGCCATGTTTGCAAAGAAACTATCTGAAAAATGAAATATGAAATCAACTGCATTGCAAGAGGAGGTTTCTCTTTTGCTTATCAATGAAATGTGACTAATGACATAAGCTTATAAAGGCATAAGTAACATGAGTTTTTAGACCAAAATGCAATACATAAGTTTATCTAAACAATGAGCATTTTAGCATAACATTTAATGTAAAGCAGAAAAGATAACAGCGTTGGTTCCAACACAAATTGCTGTTCTCACTACTACATAGTGAATTTTGAAGTTTAATAGAATTATTTCCAAATAAAATGGCACAAGCAACTGGGCTAACAGTGCATTTCTGAACAAATGTTCTGTTAGACACTATTTAGACATTTTCTTAGAACTGAAGAAATTATTTTCTATAGTCTGCATATGTAAAAGATTAAATGCCATTTAAATTGAGTCACACACTCTATGTTCTATTCAACTAGGACACTGTAGCAGGCAAGGCAATAGAACACCTGGAATTCTATTCCTAATATTGAGAACCAACTCACTGAGTCTTGGTAAATCATTTAAGGGCTTACCTTAATGAGAAATTAGTTTAGAAAATAGCCAGAATGTGAACTGAAGTGCAATACTTACTTCACACTAAGATTTTCTATGAAGCCAAAGCTTATTCTGCACTGAGTACCTTTTCTGTAGCTAAGGTTAATCCATGCCGACTATGACTAACCAAAACGAGAAGAAGGTTCTTAACACAGAATTCAAGCATCTATGCATGGTGTTAGTGCAGATCAGATAGGCTGGATTAGCTAATATAGACTTTTTAATCCAAGTGTCGACAGGGCTTTAACGTAGCTTTCTTCAAAATATAAAAGATAAACAGTAGTCATGAGGCTTTGGGGTGCAGACCCTCTAGGATTGCTGTGCATATTCTCACTTGGTAACCTAGCAAGTAAAAGTTTCACATTTCTTTTTTTATAAACTGAAGTTTCTAGCTCTGATAGCTAAAACAACCTTTCAAATAAGAACCGATAAAGCACGGTCCCCTAGATGTACATCCACTTTAAAGCTAAATCCAAAACGGTACTTAGGCACACAAACTCATCTGGAAGTCAGTTAATTAATTCTGGCACCTACTTTTTGGGATCTAACTTTTAGTACCTCTACTTCTCAACATTCCCTCAAGGAACAGAATTAAAAGTCAGTAAGTTTCTGCCTATAGGGCTCTTAATAACAGATGTAAAACTGAGAACATTAGATGTATTTTCAGTGCCCGAGTTACTGGTCTCTCATTAAACCACTACCCAGACTTAACTACAGGGGGGCACTCATCTTTGTACACACCTGATTAAATTTAGGAGCTTTCCCCTTTGAGCTTGACGGTTAAGAAGTCATATATACACTAACCACTCATAACAAATATTGCAGATGAAATCAAGTCAGATATTATGCACAAGTAGCACAAATAAATCTCCCTCTAGTTTAGTTTTGAGATACTTTCCATGTAAAGGGGCTGGATGTGATATGCATTTTGAATGGTAACAAAACAAAAGTAGGTAGCTTCATAAAATGCAGAGCCAGAAGGACAGAGGAAAAATGGTGAATATTAGGGGTGCACCAACAGAGATTTTTTCGGCTGATTTTTAAGGAGCTATATCAACCAATACCAATCAAATTTTGATATGCAGCCCGGCAGCTTGGAGCCCCCCCCCCAGCCAATGAGCTGCTCACAGCTCCATCCTTCCCCCGCCCTGGCTGAGCAGCACCTGCCTCACCCTCACTCCCTCCCCCTCACCCCAGAGGCCTCTGCCCCCAGGCATTCATCGGCCACATTAGGCAAAAAAAGAACCAATTGCCAATACTTTCAATTTTCCCTATTTTGGTACCAATCTGATATGGGACCAATGTATTGGTGTACCTCTAGTGAATATGCATTACCTCAGACGCCAGAGGACCAGATCCACCAATAAACTTACAGGATGTGATACTTAGCTCACAATGCCTAAGTTTTAGGTGGCTGGCTCCTGGAAGGGAATATATAGCCCTGCACAAGGCATCCAGGCTCCTTGAATAATAATACATAGAATTAGAAGCCTTGGTAGGAGATATCCAAAACTAGCATGTGGGGTGGGGGCTACAGAAATTAGGACAACTGGAAACCCAGGAAAGGGAGAGTCTTAACCAAAAAGAGGGATAGGATTTAAAGGCACTTTGTGTGCTCCAGGGGCGGGGGGAGGGGTGCTTTAATTAGAGCGGCTCTAAGAAACGCTCTAAAGCTCCGCTGCTTCTTGTGCATCAGCGTCCTTTTGCTTCAAAATGGCAGCAGGGGCACTTGAACTAAAGTATGTTCAAGCACTCCTGCCGCCATTTTGAAGCACGAGGACGCTGATACACGGAGATGCAGGAGGCTGCTGGAGCGCAGTAATTACCATGTGGTAATTAATTGAGTCTGCTCTGATGCGCTAATCACAGTGCGTCAGAGCAGCCTTTGCATTCATGTACACATACCCTAAGTGCCTAAGCCCAGGCTGCAGGGAATTACCTACCTAAATCAAACTGGGATTCACTCCTGATGTATTTAATATTGATGATGCTCACTTTTTATTCAACAGCCAGGGTCATTCACCCAGGATGGGGAGACCTATATGTCCTCTTCAGCTGGGGGGGGGGGGGGGGGGGGGGCAGGAGCAC